TCTTTTTACTCTTTTGGTGAAGTCTTTTGATGAGCATAAGTGTTTAATTTTTAGAAGATCTGAGTTATCTAGCTTATCTTCTAGAGTTTTTGTGTTGTTGATTATGGTTTGTATCCTCGTGTATTAGGGCCTCTAGCATTGATCCTATTTTTTTTTCTATGAACTTTATAGTTTTTGGCCTTATATTTAGGTCTTTGATCCATTTTGAATTAGTTTTTGTATATGGTGTGAGATATGGGTCCTGTTTCATTTATTTTGCAGATGGACATTCAATTTTGCCAGCACCATTTGTTAAAAAGACTGTTTGATTCCCATGTGATGGACTTTGGGCTCTTGTCAAAGATCAGGTGAGCGTAGGTAGATGAATTTACATCTGGGTTCTCAATTCTGTTCCATTGCTCAGTGTATCTGTCATTGCATCAGTACCAAGCTGTTTTGACTACTGTAGCCGTATAGTAGATTCTTAGGTCAGGTAGTGTGAGTCCTCCTACTTTATTCTTCTTTTTCAATAGTGCTTTACTTTTCCGGGGCTTCTTCCCTTTCCATATAAAGTTAATGATTAGTTTTTCCATCTCTTTAAATAATGTTATAGGTATTTGGGTGGGGATTGCATTGTTTTGTAAATTGCTTTTGGTAGAATTGTCGTTTTCACAATGTTGAGTCTACCTATCCATGAGCATGGTATGTTTTTCCATTTATGTAGATCCCTCTGGGATTCTTGCAGGAGTGTTTTGTAGTTTTCTTTGTATAGGTCTTTTACATCCCTGGTGAGATTTGTTCCGAAGTATTTTATTTTTTTAGGGGCTATTATAAATGGTGTTGTTTTCCTGATTTCCTTTTCATCATTCTCTTTATTGGCATATAGGAATCCAACTGATTTTTGTATGTTTATCTTGTATTCTGCTACTCTGTTGAATCTTTCTATTAGTTCTAGTAGTTTTCCCATGGAGTCTTTAGGGTTTTCTATGTATAGTATCATATCCACAAACAAGGACAGTTTAATTTCTTCATTACCAATTTGGATGCCCTTTATTTCTTTGTCTTGCCTTATTACTCTAGCTAGGACTTCCAGTACAGTGTTAAATAGGAGTGGTGATAAAGGGCATCCTTGTCTTGTTCTTGTTTTCAAGGGAAATATTTTCAGCCTCTCTCCATTAGGAATGATGTTGGCCATCCGTTTTCCATAGATGCCCTTTATTATGTTGAGAAATTTCCCTTCTATACCTACTTTATTGAGAGTTTTTATCAGGAATGGGTGTTGGATTTTGTCAAATGTCTTTTATGCATCAACTGAGATGATCATGTGACTCTTTTGTTTCCTTTTATTTATGTAATGGATTACGTTGATTTTCTAACGTTGAACCATCCTTGCATACCTGGTAGGAATCCTATTTGGTCGTGGTGTATTATTTTTTTGATATGATGCTGAATTGTATTGGCTAGAATTTTGTTGAGAATTTTTGCGTCTATATTCATGAGAGATACTGGTCTGTAATTTTCCTTTTTTGTGGCATCTTTGCCTGATTTTGGTATCAGGGTTATGCTGGCTTCATAGAATGAACTCAGAAGTGTCGCTTCCTTTTCTGTGTTCTGAAATAATTTGAGTAGTACTGGTATAAGCTCTTCTCTGAATGTTTGGTAGAATTCTCCATTGAAGCCATCTGGGCCAGGTCTTTCTTTTGTTGTTGGGAATTTTTTTATTACCTTTTCAATCTCTTCTCTTGTTATGTATCTGTTCAGATTTTCAACATCACTTTGTGTTACTTTGGGTAGGTAGTGTGTTTCTAGAAATTTATCCATTTCCTGTAGGTTTTCAAATTTGTTGGAGTATAGTTTTTCATAATACTCTGTTGTGATCCTTTTTATTTCAGTTGAGTCTGTTGTAATATTCCCCTTTTCTTTTCTTATTTGAGTCCTCTCCTGTTTTTCTTTTGTCAGTCTGCCCAGTGGTTTATCGATTTTGTTGATGTTTTCAAAGACCCAATTTTTAGTTTTGTTGATTCTTCCTATTGTTTTTCTATTCCCTATTTCATTTATTTCTGGTCTGATCTTTATCATTTCCTGTCTTCTCATGGCTATGGGCTTTTTTGCTGTTCTCTGTTTGTTCCACTTCTGTAGTTTATGTTTTGATTTTGTCCCTTTCTTCTTTTTTTATGTGTGTATTTATTGCTATAAATTGTCCCCTGAGGACTGCCTTTGCTGTGTTCCAAAGGTTTTGGTATGATGTGTTTTCATTCTTGATCGATTCTAGGAATTTTTGTATTTCATCTCTGATTTCTTCTATTACCTAGTGATGTGTAAGCAGGGTGTTATTCAGTTTCCATGTAATTGATTTTTTTTATTTGCTCTTCCTGTTGTTAATTTCTATCTTGATGGCATTGTGGTCAGAGAAGATACTTTGTATTATCTCAGCGTTTTGGATCTTGTTGAGGATTGCTATGTGGCCTAAGATGTGGTCTATTCTGGAGAACGTTCCATGTGCAT